TGGTTATAAAGGATTACAATTCAGATTATTTTTATAAAGTTTTAAGACATAAAAAACCCCGAAGCAAAACACCCTTGCAGCCAGTTCAACATCTGTAGGCTCAGTTTGTTCTGAACGGTGATATTTTCACCACATACTGGATTCCTAAACGCAGTGCTTTTACTGATTGTATGGGATGTGGACTATGCTGCTAAATAGTACCTGTACTTGTCATGCTGCTCAACACTAATTATTATAAACATTATTGGCCTAAAGTGGACAGTTAGGCTCAATATGGAGGCTGACAAAGTGAAGACAAAAATCCCTCTCCAAGTGAGCAGCTTTTATCAGACTGAAGGCTACGTCCTTAGCTACAGCAGCGTGTCAGTAAGAGTGCTGCCCGCTCATGAATAACCTCACTGATTACCTTTCAGGTGATGAAAACCCGCCTGACCCTGAGGAAGACCGGACAGTACACGGGAATGGCTGATTGTGCCAAGAAAATCCTGAAGAAGGAGGGAGTGAAGGCGTTTTACAAAGGCTACATTCCCAACATTCTGGGCATCATCCCGTACGCTGGCATTGATCTGGCAGTTTATGAGGTTTGTTTATATTTGTCTAGATGTAGCAACAAAGCTCCACTTCCATATGCGACATTATTTGTCATCAAAACAGTGAAGGTCTAAAACAACAGTCTTTAAGACTCCCATGAACACTGCTCCTTCCTCTCCAGAGCTTGAAGAACTTCTGGTTGTCTCGCTACGCCAGTGAAACAGCTAACCCCGGGATTCTGGTGCTGCTCGGCTGTGGAACCATATCCAGCACGTGTGGTCAGCTGGCCAGCTACCCCCTGGCTTTGATCCGCACCAGGATGCAGGCACAAGGTACAGAGAACCAAAGCTCATTCAAATTCTGTCAAAACTGACTAACTAGTTCTGCATATTTTCTTCATGGGGTGTCATAACTTTAAGTCAGTCGCTTGTTTGCAGTTGATTTCTGTGGCCTCCGAGTGGCCATATGAGTTATTACCAGGATAGTCCAAAGGCCAATGAATAAACTGCAATTCTTTGTTGTGAATTTTAGATCGTTATTGCAGAGTGTCTCGTGTCTTCCATGGAATATATCTGAGCATTTTCTACGATATTTTGACCACAGAATCAGAAATACTTTATTCATGCCAGGGGGGAAATTCAGATTTTACTCATTCCTAAACTCTCAATTGATTGTGTTCCTCCTTTTTTTTTTTTTTGAGGAATGTATTTAATCTGGGCCGGTTTTCTTATTACACAAACGATGGGTTCAAAGATAGTTCTTAAAGGTTTGAATCCTTTGTAACATAACAATGAGTAAGGTATTTTACCTGCTTTTTGTAAAGTGTCTTGAGATAACACTTGTTATGAGTTGACGCTATACAAAATAAATTGAATTGAATTGAAGCAATGATGAATAGAGAGTACTACAAGAGGACAGAGACATACAGGGAAACCTTTGAGATTGTCTTTGTTGTCACACAAAGCGGACTGAATACTTAATTTAAAGCACTCAAAGTCCTCTTGTATTAAAACAACTTCTTGTTCTTGTGCTTTCAGCTTCATTGGAGGGCGCAGAGCAGCTGCCGATGAACCTCATGGTGAAGAAGATCATAGAAAAGGAAGGCTTCTTTGGACTTTACCGTGGCATCCTGCCCAATTTCATGAAGGTCATACCGGCTGTCAGCATCAGCTACGTGGTGTATGAGAACATGCGGTCTGGCTTGGGCATTTCAAAGTAGGCAGTACAGTGTCTTTGTCTGTGTCCATGAGAGTGTAAAAGGATATGCAGCATTTCTTTTTTTTTATACCCGACTGTCATGTAAAGATCTGTTCCAAAGTCTGGACTCAAAGTGCTGCAGGTTGGATTCATTGTAGAGGCTTTTTTAAAAGTGATCGCAGGACTTTGGCTAAACTTTTGAGCCATTTAAAAAAAGAAGAAGATATTGTTTACAAACTCCTGCAGCACTTACAAAGGGCTTATTATGATTAATGAGACTTCTACAATGTTTCCAACTGTGTGCGTTTAAAATACACGTAAAGATTTAAGTCAGCTGTCAGTGTCCGGGTCAACTCACTCTTACTTTCTGCAAACAAAGAGGTGGACATTAAGAAAACCAAAAACACTGATAGAGGTTATTTGTGATTTAAAGGCATGTTTTCTTTTGTATGTTTTTTGATTTGGGCAGAGATATCATGTTTTATCAGTCATGTTAAGAATTGCTCACGTTACATCACCGCACCAGGATTATGTCACAGGTTCCTTCAGTCTTTGACCTAAAAGCACCTTCTTCCTTCAAAAAGCGGAACCCTTGGTGGAGTAGACTTTATTTATCTTTAGCTTCATCAGGAGTAAGCAGACAGAAAGTTAACTCACATCTTCTGAACATTACCACACATTGATCTCAACACATCGAGTTACGTTCAGGCGCGAGTGGAAGTTGTTTCACCTCCAAATCTGAGGAAACCTTTGAAGTGCAGTACGGTGTTTACTCTTCACTCATACACATTCTGCTCGGTGCGTTTGGGAATGGATGTCACTCTGGTGTTGTTGCCTCCACAAAGGTCTCTTTTTAAAAATATATATATATTCCATCTTTATTGCACCTTTTGGGTGAATTTGGTGAACAGGAGAGTAATGTGCCTTATATGTTTGTTTCTCTCCCATCCCCATTTTTTCTTGCCTTTTTTCCCCCAATATTTGTTTTAGTTAATGCTAGTGTTTCCGTTTATTAAACATTTGAATACAAAACAGACAATGAGTGCATTTATTTTCAACTAAGTATCATTAAAATGTATACTCATCAAATTGCGATTATTTTGAAGTTTCTCAAAACGTGTAAACAAAATTAAATCCAAAAACTAGTTCTGGAAGAGCTTCTGATGTTTCACAAGCCATGTGGAAAAATCTCCCCCCCAGTCTTGTGTTTTGACCCGAGGCTTTAAGTAGAGATTACTCCCGTTTAGATCTTACATAACACCCTTTCCCCCGGTGATGTATAACACTCCTGTCTTTAACTGTCTGATCTCAGACGTGGCTCTGCTGCTTTGAAGAAGGGAATAAAAGAAATTTGAAAGGACATGAATCCAAAACTTTAGTTTGAAGACTGTAACGTGATAATCCTGCTCTGGGTTTGTTTTTGTTGATGAGACAAAATTGATTATTTCAGGGATCCTGTGCTTGTTTATATGTTTATCAGCAGAATGTAAAGATATGCTGAACAGTCCAAACTAAACTAAAGAGTCTGAAGACAAGACAATGGAAAGTCATGCATGCTACTCTTATTTATTTTTTGTTGCCCAAATGTCCCATTCATTTTTTTAAATAAGGGATGTAAAGTGTTACAGAAATAATGTACTCTATCCAAAGGACAAGACATTTTGAGGGATAGAAAAGGCATTCATGTGAGAAAGCTCTTGTTCCATATTTCAGTCTATTTTGTTAGAATCCTCTGATTTGTGCCCGGAGCAACAATGTCTGCAGGACTAAAGGGATGTGATGGATTGCATCATCATCATTCCAAAAAGTTTCTCTTCATGGGCGTGCTGTGCCCGCTGCATCTTCAGAAATAACTCCTCATCGTTGTTATTGCTCAAGGCGGCGGTGAAGGCTTCCAGAGCAGTCTCAAATTTCGACATCTTCTTTCGGGGCAAGCTCCTGCAGAAGGGAAGCCGTCTCTTTGAGGATAATTTAGAAGCAGAAGCTTGGGATGACGAAGCTGAATGATTGTCTGGACCTGCGATATCTGCAAGCACAAGTGAGGAGATGGGACATCACAGCCATGTCAAGGCTTGTCTAAAATGCAAAGCGGAAGCGGAATGAACCTTTTCCTCAGAAGCACAATTATTACATGCATGTTATAACACTTTCATCATTCTTCACAGGTTACAATAATGATAATTATAATAAGACAAAATCTAAAAATGAACCAAAACACAGAAAAACTAAAATCGCTGCATTGTATAATTACATCAGATGTTGAAAAGCCAAGTTTGAAGAATCAGAGGAAACTGCAAAGCATGCAGATGCTCTCTGGTCAGAAGACTTGGGGGGGGGGGGTTCTGCTGAGGTTGTAGGGTTGGAGCAGGTCAGATATATATCCAGGGGGGGCTGCCCAATGCAGGGATTTGTAAACAATAACAAGGATGTTAAAATGAACTATTTGTCTGGACGTCTATGTAGGGAAAATAAAAGTGGGTGTAAGTTGTCCTGCTGGATCTAGTCAAAAGTCTTGCAGCAGTATTGGAAGATGCAAAAAAACTTCCCTGCTGAGAACATTTAAACTAAGAGGTGTCTTTAACTACTTAATTAGAATGCAGATGTTCTGACACGAGCTATTTAGCAAAGTATTAGTATCGCATTAATGTTTTTTCTAAAGCTGTGTTTTTAAAGCACACTGTAAATGAATCAGTTCTTTTTCTCGGAGGTTAAAGGCACGTACCGTCACTCTCGCCGTCGTCGCCCTGTCTCTCTGGAGGCATTTGGACCCTCTCCGTGGGTACAGCTGGCTCTATAACAGAGTCTTCAGTTTTACTTTGAAGTCATTGGCGCACAAATAAGTACGTACTTCCGCTAACTTCTCCAAATTTAGAGTGAGCTGAATCTAGGCAAATAGTTTTAAATCATTAATTTCATCTATTCAACAATTCAGTTTTCTGAAAACATACAGAAAATTATATTTCTGAATCCCGTGTGCTCTGTTATTTTAAAATGTACTTATTAATATGATCTTACCCAGGGTCTATTTTTCACCCAACTGAACTGTTTTGAATGTGTATTTATTATACTAAGTAGAACCAACAGTATTTAGGGAAGATGTTATTCCTTAGTATGAAAAAAAAAAAAGATCTGCACAGGTGTGTTGATCTTATGATGTCATCAGCTTAGTGTTTTTTCAAAGTCGCTGTAAATATGAAACACGTCACAATCAAAGAACACCTTTCATTAGATCCAGCATTGTAAACTTATATATATATATATCTTTGTGATACTAAGATTTTAATCTTTTATTAACACAGAACTTGTACAAATTGTCCTTCATGACCAGCACAGCACATTTCACAGAGTCAGGACAATCTTGAGTTGATGTGAAACCCTCCAACACCTAGTCTGCCCTGATGCTCAACAGGCCGTTTATACCTTTCATTAAAATCCATCCTGGGTGATCTGATAACAAGGGGGATGGCGTTAATGCAAGGTGGGAACGCAGGTCTCAATGCATCCAGAGGAGCGTCTAGGATCCGACAGTTCAGCCACATGAAGAGGTGGTCTGGCATGCGTTTATGCAGACTGGTTTGGTAGTGGAGACGCCATGCATCCTGGGCAGCATTAAAGACTAACCTTTGAACTGGTGGAACAATGCTGGCTCTTCGCTTAATGTGAAGGATGACACATTCAGTCTTTTCAAACGGACATGCACTTATTTGCATGTGAGACGGGCAAGTGACATCCAAATTCAAAGCGCTCAAAAGGGATGCATTGTTAATGCAAAATGTAAACGCCCGCACCTGAGTGCTATCTGATTACCAAAGACGGCTGTTAATGCAAAGAATAAACAGGACGGATGTTAATGCAAAGAATAAACAGGACGGATGTTAATGCAAAGAATAAACAGGACGGATGTTAATGCAAAGAATAAACAGGACGGATGGACCACATTGAGGTCTTCCCCCTCCAGGGATGTGACCTGCAGTAGCACTGATGAGAAACAATTCTGCCTCCCACCAGGTGAAAACAATGACACCAGAGTTCACACCTGTAGTTATAATGTTGTCCACTTGTGATCTGACCACTAAAACCCACATGTTGATACCAAATGTAGAACGTCTTAGTGATAGAATCAAAAAGAGCAGACGGAATTTTAAGTCAGTGTGATTTAAGATTGTAAACTTGAAAAGAACATTTCCACAAAAGACTTTCAGAAGAGGAATTGTCCTTTGGTGGAAAGACAATTAGAAGTTTGGTTAATTTGGCGTATGAAAACTAAGTGCACATTAAGAGGATAATAATTGTTATATATATTTTTTTGTTTTTACAGAGGACAGTTTCTGGCATGAGCTTTAAATTCTCAAACATAACCAGACAGAAAACTTCAACATCAAGAAGAAACGAGAACATGGTGACTTTCTAGTTTTTATATGCCATTTTTAAATTTAATCAGAGAACATCTTTTTTTTCCGGGTATGCTCCACTTATGAGGAGAGTGCCAAGAAGAGAAAAAAATGCCACGGTGGTCAGGACGGCCCGCATGGCTTTGAACCAGCTGGGGTAGGTGGGCAGCAGGGACAGATCATAGTGCAGGGACACTCCAAGTGCCATGATGACCATGGTTCCTGCAGAAATGATGTTGTCGCTCATTAACATGGTCACCCACGCCAGCAGGGGGGGAACCACACTGTTAGCCAGATTCATCCAGTCAGGTTTCGCTGGACTGCTCTCAGGGAGAGCGAATCCCCAGCGTGCTCCACCCAGGAAGGAGACAATGGAGGCAGCGTAAGCTAACTGAGCGTAGGCCAACTCTGGAGAGTAGCTCTCAGTCACAGCCATGAACAGAGTGGGCGTGACAAAGGGGATCAGCCCTGCAAAGCCCAGGTACAGGGCAGGTTTGGGACTCTTCCACAAGTCCTTCATGTCATAGCGCAACAAGTCCAGCTCCCTGGGCGGAGGTTCAGGCAGCTGTCGTTTCTTTAGCCTCACAGCAGAAGAGTGAAGATGTCGGTTCCTTACGAGATGTGACCCAGCATCATTCTGGATCCTCTGGAGGAGCCCAGTCCTCCTGAAGCTGAGGACAGCAGGACATTTCACTCCTCCATCACCCCCGTCTAAAAACAGCAGCCTTGCCGTTGAGGCCCAGCAGGTCTGCAGGGAGCGTGAGCCGCCATCAGAAGCTGACGACCAGCATCTCTGTGGAGGCCCTGCACAGAGCCTTACCTAAAACACAAAATCATCACATTTAAGTAAGAAATGAAACAAGTGGTGAGTAACTGAGCTCTTCAAAAATGAAACTCTCACAGGGTTGATTGATACCTTCTGGGCTGCAAGAGCGCTTCTTCTGAGAACAGCAGAGAGCATCTGATGAAAGAAAGGAAACAGAGATAAGATTCAAAACTTACAATAAAGACTTACTGACCTCGTCTTAAAAACACAGAAAAGAAAAGAGATGTGAATCAAACTCTACTAATGTAACATCGTGTGTGCAATAAGAGATGAAGAAAGTAGAGACAAGAACACAGATTTATATTTTGTTCACTTCATTTGTCCGTCTACTCGCCGTTAGATTGAATAGTTTCTGCTTAAAATATGTCTACACTCATGGACTTTAACTTATGTCAATACTGTCCATTTACTACTCTGTTTTTGCACATTTACATTTAATCTTTCATATTTAAGACTAGTAATGCTCAGTTAAATCCTGGTTGTATATATTCACATTCTTATTTTTGATATCGTTTAGTACTTATTTACTTTGTATTTAATATTATATTGTGTTTTTTGCTCATATTGTGTGTTTGGACAACCTGCTGCTGTAACGCCACAATTTCCCAGTTTGGGATCAATAAAGTATTTCTATTCTATTCTATATATTTTCCTTTCATTGTAGTGTTCCCCTTTGTTATTATTATTATTATTATATATTATTATTATAATAATTATTATTATTAAGTTATTATTATTATAATATATTATTATTATATCTTTTTTATTTTATCTTTGCTTTAATTCAGTGTATAACTTCTGTTACGACAACTTATTATTATTTATTTTTATTTGTACTTTTCTATTATTTTTCTTGTAATATTATTCTATTTTATATATAATTTTAACTTTTTTGTAGAAGCTGACAAAACAATTCAAATGCAATAAATGATTTTCTTTCCTCTTTTTTTTTTTTTTTTAAACAAATGATCTGATAATTTTATAATAAAATAAAAGATCAATCACATCACATAGTGACAGTGAAAACATGAAGTTATAAAAGCCCCACTGTTTCAAAAAGCACAGACTGACAGAAGAGAGAATAAAAAAGATTAAATAGTTATTTATCATCAAAACACCTCAGAAACAAACGAGCACACCTGTGTGGATCACACAGGTACAGGTAAATATTAATGTGTAAAAATCAAAGTGGAACAACATGACTGCTTGTTTGAGTCCAGATGATTTTTAGAGCTCACTCAGACTCTTTACTGTTTCATCTTAAAGCTCATGTTAAGAAACCGGAAACAGTCTCAGCATTTTAGATCTAAAAATACAAAATAAGAAACTACACTTATTAAATAAAAGCAGCTTAGTTACCATTGTGTCAAAGCTTAATCCCTCATACTTTAAAATGTTATTTATCCTGGGGGTCACCCAACACGGGAAACACGTTGGTCCGCGGTTTATTCCTTCCGTGTTCGACAAGAGGCTTCATTCAACTTTAGTTCCGCTCGTATAACTATAATCTTACACTACGCAGAAATAGTCTAAAATCGTAAAAGCCTATTAAGTAAGACTTTTTTTAAAAAACAAACAAACAAACACCAAAATGTCTGATTAATGGTTGATTCTGATTACCTGATTAAAACTGAGAGCACAGTTCAGTTGAATAGAAATGATGTCTAAGCTGATCAAATTAATATTAACAATTATTTTTGTTATTTAAAAAATATATAATCCAATATATAGTCCAAATATGTAATCACTAATGAAAGGTGTTTCACTTCCCAACATAAATCGATGGTAGAGAGACACACTGCATCTAAAAGGTCTATTTATTCATTCAGGTGAAGTAATACAAGTACATCAGCCTATATTTTATGAAGTAAAAATGAGCCAGAGCAGGAACAACATAGTGCTTTAAACGTGATAATAGTCCGTTGCAGGTCTGAGACATCAGCACAGGTCTCTTTCCCTTATCTCAGAAAATTATATTTATTTAAGATTATTCTGCTGCTCCTCAAACACCAGTTCAGTAATCCTGACCTCCTTCTGCTCTTATTAAAAAAACAATGGAAGGATGTTAATAAGATATAAACAAGGACCCAAACACTAAAAGCTCCCAGCTACTTCAATTGCAAACGCAACGTTTCAATTTTACAGATCTTCTTCAGGCCTTTGAAATTAAAGTTGCTCTCCAGTGTGTAGAACTTCAGTTCAATATAAGATCCACACCTGTGAAAGTTCTTCTTCTGTGCGTACCCTATCCTTGTTTTTTTTCTTAACAATATATATAACCGCGATCCAAAGGGAATTAGCCTGTCACTAAACAGTCATAATGCTGCTGAACCAAGAAGCTAAAATAACTGATTCTTTATCAAGCCCTTTAATCAGGATGGAAATAAGATCAGTCGTTCACAGATTTAGAGAAAGACACACTTTAATGAAACGCAGCAGACAAGTTAGAGCCCATAAGAGCCAGACATCACTGTGGCGTAAAGACAAGTGAAAAGAAGACTGAAACATCTGTTTTGAAAAAAGTGAAACATGTATGATATATTCTCTGTGACACATCTCAAAACACAGCTCCAGTCTTTAAATATCACTGCTGACTGAGGAGACAAATGCTTTGTTGTAGAAAGTAATCACACTTGTTGTGATGATTAATACAACTATACTGTGCTTTTCTTTTTAACTAAGCATGCAGCTCTAGAACCTTTGATGCTAAAAAGAATATGATGTCAGTTGTTTAAATAAGTGCAGCTACAGGTATGATCTTTTAACCACAGACTCATTGGTGCATCACCACAATGTCCAGCAGGGGGCAGTCATTCCAAATAAATCTCTTCTATGAGGAGAGAAACTGACTAAATCTTAAACTGGTTTCCTACTTGTTGCAAGCTGTTAAACTTTTGCTGCATCAAAATAAAACTCAAATAGCAAGCTTCAATCACGTGCCATGCTCACTTCTATCATGTTGTTATTTTAATTGTTTTAATAGAAATTGTTGATTTTGATTTGGCTTAATAAGAAAAAACAAAAACAGATTCAATATACAGCAAGAAGAAAACTTTAAAAGACACAGTGAGTGTTTGAAGTGAAATAGAGCCAGACCTGAGAGCAGAGGCACTTTAACATAAATGATTGCTATGGAATTCTAAACGAGAAAATCTTTAAATAAGAGCTCTGTCATTTCACAGGTGTTACTGAAGGGCACACACGATGTAATCAATGAGCTCTTTTGGTTTATAACTTTTGGAATAAAGCAGACAAACGCTTATCCTGTCAGAATGAAACAGACAGAGGACGCAGTTGCCATCAAGCTTTCCCGGCTGCAGGACGTTTTTAGACGGCTCCATCACTCTGAAAGACAAAACAAACAAAGAGAAAAGATGTGTGATGTGATATTAACATTGTAAACCTTTCAACTATATGCTGTTACTTATTTCACTTTTATCCACACACTGAGTTACTGTTGGCACATCTCTGATTTCAGAATCAGAATCAAATACTTTATTAATCCCAGGGGGAAATTTGTTTGCTACAGTTGCTCATAACACTAAAAATCAGTAGGAAGTACAGATAAGTACAATATAAAATAAAATAAAAATAGAAATAACAACATAATAAACAATAAGTACCAAGTGAAAGCAATAATAAAAGTAGTAATAAAAATAATAAACACTAACTGTGTTGCCTCTGTTTCTTATCTATTGTATTTATTTACTGTCCTTTCTATGTTGTTTGCTCATTTCGGGCTGTCTGTGTTTTCCTGCTGACTGCAAAACAAATTGCCCTCTAGCAGGGATAATAAAGACAACCTTGAACCTTAATAATAATAATAATAATAATAATAATAATAATAATAATAATAAGCTATGTTCAAGTGCAGGCAATTTGCCTGGCAAGTATAATTTCCGGAAATAAAATAAATAATATTCACATTAAATGATTGAAATTGAAACTCTTAGAAAGTGTCTGGTTATGCTTTTGATCCTCAGATCTTCACACATCAGCACATCCTAATCTTTTTTTATTTTGTTTCATGAAATATTCCTGAAAAAGCTTTTTTTGTTATTAAAGTAATATCATATCACAGCTGTCAAATTGATTCTTCTAATTGATAGTCTCCACTGAGATACTGACCCCTCCACAGCAGCCACAGCAGTCCCCACAAATAGCTCCCAGCAGGCCGTTCACCACCTGCACAGCACACAGCGCCACCTGGATCAAACCCATGACCAGCAGTACAGAGAACAGGGAGAGATGCCAGGACACCACGCCGGACGGCTCTATACAAAGTTTCCACAGAGTTGTGTTGCTCAGATAGTCACTGGAAAAGGAAAGTAACAAAGAGACAACAAGTTCTGATCTTTAGATACTTTGGAAAGGTGCAGAGTGTGTTAATAATCGAGAGGTTTATGGATGCTTAGAAAGATTGAAGTAGCGTACAAGAGATATTGTTTTATCCTAAATGAAATGATCAAACTGCAGCAACATTGTTACCAACTAATTCTTACTGACATCTTTAATTAAAAGTTCAAGTTTCAAAGGTTCAGGTAAATATTCAAACGGAAAGGGAAATGAATTGGTTGGTTGGTTAAAACCTTTTTTCTTTGCATGGAATCTTATAGCCTACTTACTACACATGTTGTGATGAAGAATAGTTTTTCTGCTTTTCTTTGTAGAGGTCAGAATGCTCCAGCAACACTTGTAGTAAGAAGATCAACTTCATTAACAATTTAGACCGGCGCGTTTCGGCTCGTGGCGTTCATCAGGGTCATCAAGAAACAGATTTATAAACATAATTTAAATAGGGTGGGTACACAATTGAAGGAAAGGTTAAAAACATTTCAAAAAGGTAGGGACAACCAATCAGATGCCTCCAATATGTGCTTATCAGCCAATAGGGCACATGCAAAGTGGGCTGGTTTGTTGGCCAGGTAACATGAAGGTGAAGGGCGTGTCTAACAAGGCTGACATCACAACTGGTGAACAGGTAGGGATCAAGGGGATGGTTAAGGGGGGTGGTTAAAAGCCTGCACAGGTGAGAAAAGGCTTTTGACACAAAACAAATACAACAAGGGATTTGAAAATAAATTAAAAGAATCTTACAATATGTTTAAAAATGTATATACGAAACAATGTAAAATATTAGAAGAGCATAAAACCATAAAAACATTATAAGAACTCATTGATTGAAAACTCCTCATTCATCCCACCTGGAAATAAACTTTCAATATCAAAAATCCAAAATGCTTCTCTTTTTTTCCTGATAAAATGAATGTTACCACCTCTTGGGTTAAGTTTGATGGCTACTTGGCAGTTAATGCAGGTACCAATATACCAAAAACCTCAAATATTTTAATCACCGTACCAATGGAAAAACTATTAATATTAAGGATTTTATTACATGCAAATCAAAAAATGTGGTGTATATGATTCAATGTCCTTGTAATAAGATATATGTAGGTGAGACTTCCCGCTGTCTAAAAGAATGGATCACTGAACACAGGAGTGCTATCAAAAGGACCGACATCAACAGCCCTGTTGCAAGACATTTTAATGAAGCAAAACACCCCATCTCCTCTCTTTTTTCCCTCGGCATAGAAGCCATCAAACTTAACCCAAGAGGTGGTAACATTCATTTTATCAGGAAAAAAAGAGAAGCATTTTGGATTTTTGATATTGAAAGTTTATTTCCAGGTGGGATGAATGAGGAGTTTTCAATCAATGAGTTCTTATAATGTTTTTATGGTTTTATGCTCTTCTAATATTTTACATTGTTTCGTATATACATTTTTAAACATATTGTAAGATTCTTTTAATTTATTTTCAAATCCCTTGTTGTATTTGTTTTGTGTCAAAAGCCTCCTTAGTGTTCTTCACCTTTTCTCACCTGTGCAGGCTTTTAACCACCCCCCTTAACCATCCCCTTGATCCCTACCTGTTCACCAGTTGTGATGTCAGCCTTGTTAGACACGCCCTTCACCTTCATGTTACCTGGCCAACAAACCAGCCCACTTTGCATGTGCCCTATTGGCTGATAAGCACATATTGGAGGCATCTGATTGGTTGTCCCTACCTTTTTGAAATGTTTTTAACCTTTCCTTCAATTGTGTACCCACCCTATTTAAATTATGTTTATAAATCTGTTTCTTGATGACCCTGATGAACGCCACGAGCCGAAACGCGTCGGTCTAAATTGTTAATGAAGTTGATCTTCTTACTACAAGTGTTGCTGGAGCATTCTGACCTCTTCTAAGCCTTTCACTCTTCATGCACCTTGTCAGTTGGTGAAGTTTGTGCCAGAAAATCCTCTTTTTCTCCACTACTGTTCTTTGTAGAAAGTAGTTCAAATAAACTTGAAATGAAGTAAGCCATTGAAAATGGAGCTTTAGTTGGGAATTGATTAGCTGAGCACATGACAGACAGTGTTTCATGTATAAACATTTATGTTTTACCTTTGTGGAAATTTTGCTTCCCCATTTTTTAATGGGACGGAATAAAAGGGATTCATTTAGTATTCCATGCATTAAGTTCAGAGCTAGAGATGTGAATCAATTAGCTTAGCACAACATAACTACTGAAAGTAGGAGAAAAAGTCACTCTGTTCTAATGACCTAAAAGGTTCTTAAATTCATATTTTATGTACATTTTCTGTTGAATTCATACAAAAATAAAAATGCAAAAAATAATAAGTTAGGTTACACATGGATGTGCTGGATTGTTTGTTGTATTAGTCTCGTCATCTTACTACGAGTAACAGATCTAAGAGAAGATCCTGAACTATTCCCTTTACAGAAACTCCCCCTAAAGTTTTTAAAAGTAAAATGCAAACTTGAATACAACATTTGAAAGCTGCTGAATGTGGTTGTTACTTGAAACAAAGTCAATGCATCATTTTGGATTCTAGGTAAATCTATGAACACCCGACTGATCTGTGTGGCTCACCCATTTCCAAAAGGAGTGCCCCACACGTCATTCGTTCCGTTTTTTGAAACCACACACTTGGGTCCTTGGTTTATGGCCACAGACGAAACTACGACTGAGTAACCGGCCCCCGCAACACCCACAGCTGCAAACAGGATGGAGCTCAGCATCTACAGACACAGAGAGAAAGAGGAGCCACTCATATTGGGAATCAATAACACCTCACTTTTAACGACTGTGATGACAATAAAGTTATTCAGTGTGTGTGTAGAGAACAGGGTGAAGGTCAGGAACAGAGCTAACAAGGATGATGGGATGGTGAGCGTGCATGTGCGTGTGCGTGTGTGTATTCTTCTCTGAAACTTTCCTGTACCCTCCAACACACACACACCCAAAACCTTACACATTCCTGAAATATCGATCAGTATGTACCAGAACAATACCAGCTCTGTGTGATAAAGTCGGGTGAAACTCCCGTCCCGTAAACGTCTCGGATCAAAACCGCATGAATTTGTGTGTGTGTCTGGTTGTGTTAACACTTCCTTTGTCTTTCTTTTACAAACTCTGTGTTTCGACTCTACAGGTTACAGATGGTAAACAGCAGTGTGTTGACTGGTAGGGGTGGTCAGAATAAAAACACAGATGTGTCGTCCCTCTATCCCAAAAGAAAACATCCGCTTCTGCAGAATCCTTTTGGGACAACGTTCAAATGCGAACAGTCATGTGACTCTTCATCGCCATAAACGTGAATCATTATTAGCACCATCATTTTACAACAGCAAAACAATCTCCTCACCGCAAATCTCCGCCCACAGCTTTCGTTGCCACAGCAACCGCAGCAGTCGTTGTTCTTCAGACCCAGGAAGACCAGAGCTGGGAAGATCATCTGTCAGCCAAACAAGACACACACACACACACACACACACACAGAAAGTGTAATAAAAAGTTGAGCAGATGATGAATTGTTTGGTTCCACTACTGTAGGCGTGAATAAAAGTGCGTATCACATTATTATACTCCTTCTTGAATTTACCATTTCCGCCAATTTACTCATTTTTTTTCAAATTACATGAAGATATCAAAACTTCTTCAAAGAGCTTCACAGATTCTTTTAAGTTCATCAATATTAAAGCATGTTTTCTAATATTTCTAAGCAGCAGGTGCATGCTCTGTGACACGATTATATCTCTAGCTGTTTAAATGTTAGACCTCACTTATCAGTTTATAAATTCATCTTTGGTTTATAAAATCCCAGCTTCTTAAATGTGACGATTTGCTTTGGCATATGTGACACTGAATTGCGTACACTATGGGTTCTGAATTGTTGAGCAAGCAATCTGAAGACATCACCTTTTGGATACATATTTTAATTGTAATGTTTTTTCTTTAACATTTAAAATAATTACTTCATTAATTGAGGAAAAATGCATGTGGTATAAAATAGAAATAGAATTTTAAAGGTGTCATAATTAATAATCACCGGCCCAAAGCTTCTATCGTAATATCACATAAGGCAACAAATAAAACTTGAGAAAATGATAAAAATCACCATAATAATCCATGAAAGTTGTCTTCAAATGAACGCAGCAGATTTCCTTCAGTGTGCCACTTAAATGTGTCCCTTAGTTTTATTTTACTGATTTCTGATAGTGTTGATATTTTTAACAGACTCACCAGAACTCCAGATCCCAGAATGCCTCCAAAGTACCAGACCTGTTTTGTGATGTGGTCTTGCTCCACAGGCTGTCCGCTGGGGAAGAAGAGCAGGATGTTACACAGCACGCACACGATCGCCAGAGGCATCAGAGTGATCCCCAGACACTTGGCAAAGCCACCTGAGCACATCTTGACACTGATGCTTCGAGCTCCTTTACTAATAACAACTTCCTTGTCTTACAAAGTTTTTTGGGGGGGGGGTTTCAGAACTCTTATGTTGCTCTTTTGCCAAAAATAGCTAAAAGAAAAACTAAGTAAGGATGTCTTTCTTTTGAAATTAAAGTTTTGACTCCGGTCTTTGTCCGCCTGTTTGCTTTAGATTTATCTATATTGCAGCTTTCCAATATAAACTAAAAAAATCTTAGGTTTGCTTGTAATCCCAAAATGCTCTATCCACTTTGCGCCTCACCTGTCCTGTTACTTATGATTGCCGATGGCTTAGAAAGAGCGTTTATACCCCTCTCCACCTGTCCCTCTCACTGATGTCACCGCTTCACTTTATTGGCAGCCAGCTGTTATATCTTAGTATCACACACACACACACACACACACACACACATGTATTAACAAGCTTGTGACTGCACGCATGCAAACACACACACACTTAATATAAGATCACACACCCGTTTGTGCACACAGAAAACAGTGGTTAATGTTTCACCATGTGTTTTGTGTACATGGAGACAGAAGAGGAAGTGACAGTCGATCAATACAGCAGAGGCCTCTGGGCCGGTCTGCACCCACTGGTTTAGTTAATAATGAGGAAATAAATCATGATCAAAGATAAATAGTGTTTCATCACATTCCAACAGCGATCAGAAGTGGGACAAACGGAAGATCAATTAATTTCAAACCTGGTGATCTAATGATGTTTGTAATCAACCGGCTTAGTAAAGTAAATGGTGAAACATATTTGATCTAGGTTCACACAAATATATCTCCATGATAAAATTATCATCATATTTTACCACCATAAAACAAACAAACAAAAAATACTTATGTATGACTTTGTTTAGTTTTTGCCCTTCAGAAGAAATGCAATCTTGTTATTTAATTTTTACTCATAAGATTATAAATATTTTTGAATGGAAAAATGTGTGAGTTGAGGTTAGTTTCCCCAAATAACTTATTTAACCATCCATACTTCCATAGTCGGTTGATTTCTTACAATAATTTGGTTTCAAGGAGAGATGAGCATTTCATCAACAGGTCAACATCAGTCACTGTTATCTGCCATCTTACTTTCCTCTGACAGTGTTTCATGTCATCAAATAAACACTAATCATCTCAGTTTAGAGCCAAGAGTTTAACAAAGGGAAGGGAAACTAGCCAACATTACTTTACTTTTTTAGACATCACTTCCTCCTGTTGAAGTCAGACCATCGATGCTCTCGGTGATCTACTTCTTTACACTGCCGTCCTGGTTAAGCCAGTCTTAATCGATGCTCCAACAACAGATCGGAAGTTGAAAAGTCCATCACCGTTTGATTTCGTCTGGTTCTTTTTGCACTTTTGTTTTGCTCACTCGTCGGAAGTTGAAGCAGAATGGACATCGACTTGACTTTCGCCTCTCGTCGTTCACCTGTGGTGTGTTTACACGGCTGTGTGGCGTCCAATCAGCCGCTGGCTTCAAGTATTGGGCTGGGTGAGTGAAACACTGTTGCCGTGGAGATAAAGATCATCTGTTGCCATGGAGATAAATCATCATCAGTCATCTAAAGGTTCACATTTCTCGGTGATATGTTCAGACTGTGGTATCTCACATAAAAATAAATGTATTTTAAAGTCATAAAGAAGTTATTTGACAGAATGCTAGCCTGTAGTTTTTACACTTTTAAAAGAAAAGTTTAACATATAAAACACATGATGAGTTTTAAAATCTGAGTTATAATGCAAAATAGGCTAATAAAGTTCTTAAAATGACCAATAATACCAGTGAGTAGGCTAAAACAATACTAATCTGACAAAGACTAAAATATTTCAACTGAACAGTACTCATTTTGCATTTTGATTAGTTCTGGTGTTGGCCCTACTTTAGGAACATTTTAAAATTGTAATTAGTAGTAAATATTTAGTAGTAAATATTTATTTCGGTCCATGACCACAAAGCATAAAACATACACGAACAATAATGATAATAATAAAAAAAAAAACAATGGCCGAAAAGGTGTAGGGTGAAGCCTTTGAACATTTTATTTCTACAGTATATCAAAACAAGAATAGCTGCAAAAAAAACCAACAAATAAACAAAGTAACCTGATTTCACAAAACAGAAAGCAGTTGTCAGTTAACCAAATCAAAACAATAAAAGGGAAAAAAATAAAATAACTGAAAAGCTTCCATAAATGATTAATTATAGTCAGACTATAGTTATTAGATTTATTTTTGGGCTTTTTGTGGCTTTAATGGAGAGATAGGACGGTGGATAGAGTCAGAAATCAGGGAGAGAGAGAGAGAGAGGAATGACATGCAGGAAGGGAGCCACAGGCTGACTATACCCCAGACTATAGTTATAAACTATTATATGCTTTCTATACGTTTATATTCCATATTTCATAGAGCAACAATATTACCATATGAATATACATTATACTCCAGGCTCCCTCTATACACAATGTTATACATTTACTAATGTAGATTTACACAGTAAAACCATACACAGTAGAAAAATGAGTTTCTATGTTAGGCATACATGTCCTTAAGTTGTTATTGGGATTCATGAAATAATTGTGTTTCACTTCAACTAATGCATTCTCTTCAATATATCACACCACTAAATACCAGAAACACATAACATTATTAGGAGAGATGTTTGAAGTAGACTAAATTTAATCTGGAAAAATATGAATTAGCCTGAAAAATTGAAGGGAAGGCGAGGCAAGTTTATTTATATAATACATTTCAGCATCAAGGCAATTCAAAGATCTTTACACAAGACATCAACATCATTTCTGCAATATTTTACATTTCATACTGTGCAATATTTATTTTATATTTCTGCAATATTTTACATTTCATACTGTGCAATATTTATTTTATATTTCTGCAATATTTTACATTTCCTGCTGTGCAATATTTATTTTATATTTCTGCAATATCTATTTATATTCTGTTATGCTACTACCTGTAAATAACTCTAATAATTCTTCTTTTGTTGTTTTTAGCTGTGGATGCTTGTATGTGTGTGCACTTTAAGGTGAAGCCAAATAATTTCGTTGTACAATTGTATAATGACAATAAAGACATTCTATTCTATTCTATTGTGAGAAAGGGAAAAGGAAACATTAAGATAGAAAATAAAGAGGGGAACAGTTCACTCGAGGGGAACATGATAACTATGTAGTCGACAAGTAATTCTTCAGCTTAGTGCTGTCAGACCTCTAAATGTATGTTATCGACACATTCACTTTAACTGAAAACAATGTACCTGAGCTTCAGCTTTTTTCGTTTGACTGGACTTCTAAAATCCAGATATTTCCATCCAAACTAAATTCAGTTAAAGCGTACACTGATGACGTTCCTTAACATCAGTAAAGCCCCTACGAATCATCAACATTAATGATACATTACTGTGTTTTTTTCTGTTGTCCAGACATCCTGAAGCGTGGTGGTAATGCTGCAGATGCTGCGGTTGCCATAGCAGCAGCACTGGCAGTAACCGAACCGTGCAGCACGGGTCCAGGTGGAGACGCCTTCTGCTTGTTCTTCAACAGAGACACGGGAGAGATCAGAGGCATCAACGGCAGGTGGTCACTCTTCTCTCTCTGCCTTTTTTTTTTTTTGTGCCTTGATAACACAGAATGTTTTGCTGAGCTTTTTTCTGTATCCTCAGTGGTCGTTCACCCGTAGCTCAGACTCTGGACTACCTGGAAGGGCGTGGCTACACTGCAGAGACCCCTCCTCCACCTTTTGATGCCCTGAATGTCACCGTACCAGGGGCCCCTGCATGCTGGTGTGATACGGTGCAGCTGTTTGGTAGTCACAAGGTGTGTTTGTGTTTCTGTGTGTGTAGAATCATGGGTATGAATAAGATCAAATGAAAACACAGTGTTAGAGGAGCTTCCAAACTTAACCATCTGGAAGGGGTTTCAACAGGGTCCAAAAATATGTGACTGAAAATGTAAAAACTGTGAAGCACTTGCACTGTACTCTTAAGGATGAACAGCCTGTGTGACTGTGATTGTGATCCTTGAGGATGAAAGCGTTCACTTTAAAGATAAAATGTTAAATGAGATTTAGCTTGTATAGCGATTTCTCTAGACTGTAGAATACTCAAAGCGCTTTTACACAGAAGGTCACACCGACCCATTGAAGAGGCTGCTATGTAAAGTGTCCATCAGTGTTAACCAATCCTTTCAAACACATTCACACGCAGCTGTCGAAGCAGCAGTAGTAGCAACTTCCGGTTGAGATACGGCAGACTTTACCTCCGAGCCACAGCTGCTCTGTAAAAAGCGTCTTTGGTCATCCCACTTTATTCCATGAATGACGCAACCACAAGGATTCCCGGAGTAGTGATGCAGCGAGTCAGCTGGTATGATTATGTCATTTTTAGACCGCCATATTTAAATATTTAATTATATTTAATTTAAAAGATGCAGTGATGTTTTTACTTCTTAATGCTGGAATCTGACCCTTTACCTTCTAATTCTTAAGATACGCACTACATTACTATAACAGCTGTTCCTACTCACTGCCAAAGGAACAAGATCAAATCTAGTTCACAACTCTTTGTTTTATTTGGTCATCAACTAAAATAGAAGTGAGTAGTACATATTAAAGGGATTTCCTACACACCACATCGTACAGAGTTCCCTCTGACTCACACAGATTCATGACATTTATCCGATTTTTTTTTTCTGTCTGGAAAACCCTCAAAGAAAATGACCATCATCTCAACTTCTTTTTTTCCTCAAAACAATGACTCACACTTCCTGCTCGGAGAGATTTCCTGTGAGTTACTACTCGCGTGTTTCCCCTCGCTTGTTTCCTCAGCTGTCCTTGCAGGAGGTGCTGAGCGGGGCGGTGGAGCTAGCAGAGGTGGGGTTTCCTGTCGCAGAGGTTGCAGCTCACCACTGGGCGAACTGGGTTGCTGCTCTGAGAAGTGATGGGAAGGAACTGGGTGGAGACCTGCTCATCGATGGTCAAGCACCTAAATGTGGACAAGTATTCAGAAATCCTTCGCTTGCCCAGACCCTGAGGGTAAGTCCATGAAACGTAAAAAGAAAAACACATATTAATAGGTTATGTGAGGAGCTCTTGGTCAGGTTTCCCTGAACAAAGGAAACACAACAATGTCCAACATCAGAGAAACAAATAAACACGTTTCACCTCCTCCCAGAGGTTGTTTGCTTTCTCTGAACTCAATTTAGCCCTCTACATGAGAAGACCTCGAATAAACCTGGAGGAATTATAAGTTATTAACCCTGAACCCATTAATGCATTAGAATTAATGTGCAAGAAAAACAAGAGAGGGAGGGGTGTACACTGAGCGGGGATGGGGAAAATACTAAAGGCATTTAACAGGCAAAAAAGCAAATGAAGAGGAGGGAGTGAAACAGGACAAAGGGGGAAAAGGAGGCAGTCTGAGAGATGAAATACATGGAAGAGTGAGGAGATTAAAAGAGAGAGGAGGAGAGGACAGAGAGAGATGTGAAGGACTTGATGGAAGGCAGAAGAAAAAGTCAAGAATGGTTCAAATAAAAAAAAATAAAGATGTAAGGATTGGAGTAGAGAAAAAAATGAAGAAGACCAGAAACAAAAAAAAATGGAATATGTGTTTTTCTTTTCATTGTGTGCATCATAAATCTGACTTTAAGGGGTGCTGGTCTAGTTGGTGGAGCTGGTGTCCCTTGAACAGAGGCTACAGTCCCTAATGCACCAGTCACAGGATTGATCCTGGTCCTGGTGCATGTCATCCTTCACTCTCTCTCCCCACATTATCTTCAGCTGTCCTATCAATCAATGTAAATAAGCCCAAAAATCTTTACAAAAAAGGGCCATCAAGGGAATTCTTAAATTGTTGTTCTTCAATAAAAATATGGATCCACTATTTAATGCCCCCTTAAGACAAAATCTAAGTTAATAAAACATTTTGTTCATGCTTGAAAATGTTGGTTACATTTAAAACATCCAGACTGGGAGGCAGGTTTACCTCAGTGGTTAGAGCGTGCGCCCAGTGTACAGAGGCTATAGTCCTTGTTGCAGCAGCCGTTGGTTCAAATCCGTCATCGGCCATTTGCTGCACCTGCACCCTACCTTCACCTCCCAACATTTCCTTTCTCTCTATAGCTGTCTAATCCAATAAAGACAAAAAACACACCCACAAATAACTTGCCACACTTGCAGAACAGATGAACTTCTGAACTTCTTTCTGTAATATTATTCCAATATTAGAGTTCAACAGATGCGACGCAGTTTGCAAAACGTATGCAGTTCACTTGCCTTTTAACCAAATAATCCAACATTGATAGAAAGAATCTTAAACTGCTTTGATAAGGAAACGTTAAAGTAAACTGTACTGAAGTGCTGACTCCAGACATAAACATGTTTATATTTTGGATCTCACCGGGGGGCTAAGCTCGTCCGCCCGCCGGATGGCTTGCTGCCTGTTCTTCGTTTTGGTAAAAAATAAAACTCCAGTTTTTCGATTTTTTGGTTTATTTGTGGTGCAGCAGCGCTTCAGCGTTGTGGCTAGTGGTTTGTTTTCTCCCCTCAGTGCCAAACAGAGGTGATGTTTCCTGGGCGAGCCCCTTGATGCCGACTGTATCTATATAAACAGTATGACTGATTTATAACATTTAGTTCATCTCAAAGGCTCAGAGCTGTTACCTTGATGATGGTATGTAGGTAATTTGACAAATTAACATAATAATTGTGACATTTTTAGGCAAAATATAAATGTTTACACATTGAAAGCAGCATATCTTAGAGCTTTAAATCACAAGTTTCCTATGAAACTGAACTGAACTGGTGTTTTTTTGTGTGTGTTGAGACTCTCCATTTAGCCCTACTTTAGTGAGGTAGCACTTTTTCTGCGAGTTCTTTTTCTCCCTTTAACATTTCCTTTTCTTGTCTGTCATGTGTATGTGAGATCCTGACTTTTGTTGTGTAGACCAGTGGTTCTCAAACGTTTTAGACTGCGTACCACCTCCGAAAATATTTGGCTCTCCAAGTACCACCATGATGGTAGACGTTAAAATACACTGTAGGCCTATTTCTACACACATTTCATGCAAGAGGTAAATTAATATTATGTATTATTGACTGCTGGCAGCCACACTGTAGGCCTACTAAGGTCTAGTGCTAGAACTTACACACAAAAAGTGCAGAACAATAAAAATGACAACTTTATACCAACAACCTGTTTGGAAATATTTAATCTCCAGGGTTTCCCACACAAACACGATACCCAAGTATATTTCCAAGCTGTTCTCATTAAATTTTTCATTTATTCATAAAATTGCTGCGTGCCTGAGAGAGAGAGAGAGAGAGAGAGCGAGAGAGAGAGAGAGCGAGAGCGAGAGAGAGAGAGAGAGAGAGAGCGAGAGAGAGAGAGAGAGAGAGCGAGAGAGAGAGAGAGAGAGAGAGCGAGAGAGAGAGAGAGCGAGAGAGAGAGAGAGAGAGAGAGAGCGAGAGCGAGAGAGAGAGAGAGCGAGAACGAGAGAGAGAGAGAGAGAGAGAGCGCGTGAGAGTGCAGGAGTGCGCTCCGCAGGCTCCGTGCAACCAGAGCCTCTTTATTATAAGTCTCTGTGTTCAAAAATCCCTTTTAAGACAGCAAAAGAGAGCAGAATCACATCAGCTTCAGAGCTCCAGAGAGAGAGAGGGAGGGGGAGCGATGAGGTCCGCTGTCCGTACATGCATCAAAACTGAAGCTTCTCCTGGCTCCGTTTTTAAAATGTAAATGTACAGCTGCTCGCTGCCGATTGTGCTGAAGTCCAATAAATAACAGAATATCTGTTAATGTAGGCCTACATTAACAGAATATTATGTAAATGTAGGCTTACAGCTGCTTGCTGTTATTTCAGTACTGAACTATAATGGAATATCGAGTGGAACTTTTCAAAACGCGAGGTGTACTCCTGTTGTTGTTTATGTCTGTGAGCATAAATTGAGCAGATTAAAGTTGTTTGTTGCAAAAACTAGATTAATTTAGAGGGGAAAACACATTTGATATGAATACAACCCAATAGATACAAGCTAGATAAGAGTACGACAAAAACAAATGTTGTTTTATGCTTTAGGTTTGTTTTTTATATTGTGGAGATTTCTTTGCGTACCACCACAGGGAGCCCGCGTACCACCGTGGTACACACTCATTCTGTAATTTCCTGTCTTTGAGACTTCACTTCTATCACGGCTGACCCCATTGTGTGCATATCTGTCCGTCTGTGTGTGTTTCACTGTTTAAGCATGCAGTGGTCGATGCTCTTCTCAATTATTACACCAAACACTCATTCTTTAGTCACGTTCAAATGCAGGAACACTTCCAAGTACGCCCATATAGACAGGCACAAACGCACACACACACACCCACACACACACACACACACACACACACACACACACACAGACAGACACACCCACACACAATCAGATTTCTGACACAGTAGAAACAATAGCAGTGACTTCAGCCTCAGTGATGGATGTTTTCCATGGCATCATAATGGTCATTCCTCAGGGATGACGGTGTGTTACTTCCTGGTGTTGAAAGGTCACACATACACACACACACACACACACACACACACACACACACACACACACACACACACACAAACACACATAATGTCTGTGATATGTACATAAAGGTGGACATATCACAGACACTTCTTTCAAACTCCTGTGGCTTTACAAAAAGGAAAAACAATTGTTTTTACATTTTTGTTTTCTCTACTTTAGTGTTATTTGATTTCTACTGATTGATTGATTGATTGATTGATTGATTGATTGATTGATTGATTGATTGATTGATTGATTGGCCGATGTTTCAACAGGAGCTCGGCAAGCACGGCAAACCCGCTTTCTACCAGGGCAGAATCGCACAAGCCATCGTCGATATTGTCGACCAAAACGGAGGAGTCATGACCCTGGATGACCTCGGCAGCCACGACAGTGAGGTCATCACCCCCATAAGTGCTGAATACAAGGTGAGGTCAGCAACCGTAGACGCTCAGACTTCTTTTTCAGTCGATGACAGAGGGAATGACTCCTTTGTGTGTGCAGGGTGTGCGTCTGTGGGAGCCTCCTCCTAACAGTCAGGGATTGGCTGCCCTGCTGCTGCTCAACGTCCTGGAGAACTTCCCTCTCAAAGGTACTGGCACAGCGATGCATGCCACTAGAGAATCTCACTTATTAACACTAGTTTGGTGATTTAAATAAACAAAAAGAATAAATAAAAACCCAGTCATATTCTCTCTTTACATCTCTGCTGGCATTGAGGTGGATTGCTATTTTTGTTCTGCTCAAACCACTGAAACATTTTATTTGAAATACTGTGAATGAAGCTTTTTTTCCATGAAAACTACTCACAATCTATGGATTACTCTTAATGCTGTGATTTTCAAATGTTATAATACAGTGTCTGAGCACCTTATGCATAATTCCTTTAACCCTGACCTTGCACAGTAAAGCAGGTACTTGAGCCGTTACAGGAAAAACTCCTTGTTTTTAGTAAAAACAAGTACAAATTATTGACTTTAAAAATGATAAATTACACATTTCTTTTACATAAATATAATGTATGCAATTACATATTCATGATTTCCATTTATTTATATAGAGATTTATTTATCTTCTGTCCTTTAAAAACTCCTGTAATAATTTCTTCAAAAACAAAGTCACAATAGAGAATATTCTTTTTGGTCATAGAGTTTATTTTTGATCATCATTTGCAGCTCTGACCGGTCAAAGGATCATTCACCTGGGTTGTATTGTTTGTGTCTTTTTGTGTGTAGCTGCAGTCCATAACAGCTCTGACTACATCCATGTACTTGTGGAGGCTGTACGCTTGGCGTCAAGTGATGCTATGAGTCACCTGGGCGACCCAGACCATGCTACCATCCCCTTAGAAACCTTACTGGACAAAAGCTACAGCCATCAGCGAGCGCAGCACATCAGCATGGACAGGTGTGTGTGTGTGTGTGTGTGTGTGTTTCTGTGTGTCTGTGTGTCTGTGTGTGTCTATTAGTACCAGTGTGTACCAGTCGTGCTCTGTTGACTTTAGATAGGATTGTGGACTTTTACTTCCCTGTAACCTTTATGTCCCTCCCTTCATGCCACGCCGTGTGGCTGTCTGTATTTTGTCATTAACAAGTATTTACTGGTCAGTTCTGTGGACTTTGAACTTTATGAGCTTTAAGACAAACAGACGGACTGACTATAAAATATAATACAACATAATGATTAAATAACAAACAAAGTACCTTTAATTACTGAGGTGTTACTGCATCATATAACACAGACACAAATACATAAACCAATCCCACACTTCCCAGTTTCTAGTTTTTTTCACACAAGCAAACTAAATGACAAAGCACATAAAGATAATTTATAACATTAAGCACATGTTTGTAGAAACCTGTAAATCAGTGGTCATCAACTGGCGGCCCGCGGCCCACACCTGGCTCCCCAAAGCTTACCATCCGTGCCCCAGAATATAAATAATCTCTGGTGATTAAACAATAAACATAAAAATAAAATCACAAGGCTGAAATACTCATTAGGCTTATGTATTTAAAAGGGTGCTTGTATTTTAAAGTCCGCACCCCACCGTGAATGTCAAGAAAAAAGCAGTTGATGACTCCTGCTGTAAATAAATAAATGAAAAGCTCACCAACAAGACACATCAAAAGTTATACAAACATATAATAATAATAATAATAATAATATATAACATAATAATAATAATATATAATATAATAATAATAATAATAATAATAATAATATATAATATAATAATAATAATAATAATGATAATAATGATAATATATAATATAATAATAATAATAATAATATATAACATAATAATAATAATATATAATATAATAATAATAATAATATATAATATAATAATAATAATAATAATATATAATATAATAATTTAATAATAATCACCAAAACAACCTTAATAACATACTCAGACTCGACCTTTGTGATTCAACCCGCTCTACATTTAATGTGAATCTGAGTCTCATGTCTCTCATCAATAAAAAGAACACGTTGACTCTGTTTCCTTACATATAATAAACATATCAAGTAGTGGAGGAAGATCTGGTGATATCAGGAAGTGAGTTTCTAATCCTTTCCAAAACAAACAAAACAAAAACACAGGTTTCCCATGTTCAGTTTACTGCTCTGAAACTTTACATTTACTGTACAAACATGATCATAATGGTATTTATAATGGTATTTAATGGCATTATCATACTGGTTTTTGTTATCAAAGTCAGAAGCAAAAAAAAGAAGGACATAAGTGTCTTTCCCAAAATATGTTTCTTAAAGAACCCAATAAATACGTAGTAGAATCAAGTTGTGTCATATAAAGGCTTCAGAGATTCATGTCGTAATAACAGTTTTCTTTCCTTTTTCTCTCTGGGTGTCACTTTGCTCTGATTCTCTAACTTTTTGTAATAATCAGAAGGTAAAACAGCAAAGAACATCAGGGCTTCGTGTATGTTTTTATTTTGTGTGTGTTCTTTCAGGGCCATGAAAGAGGTAGAGCCTGGCCTGACAACAGGAAGTGACACGGTCTATTTCTGTGTGATTGACAGCGACGGCAACGCCTGTTCATTTGTCAACAGCAACTACATGGGCTTTGGAAGCGGGCTGGTCCCTAAGGACTGTGGATTCTCACTACAGGTCTGAGGGTGGTTTTTTGTTTGCCTGTGAGGTAGCAGTGTGTGCATTAAGCTGAAAAACATCTGATAAATAATTGAGCCAAGACCAGAATGGTAAATGTAAAACACCAGATTTTATGAAGGGGGTTTTGCATGGTAACATTATCTGTCGAGAGCAGGAATATATGGTGTGCTTGTGCTTTGTGTGTGTCTATGTAAATGTAAATGTGTGTTGTGCCAACATGGAAACTTTCTGAAAAATCAATTATGGACCAAACGTGGAGAGAGACATGTTGCAGTATTAAGGCAGCATGCATTTCCACAGACTTTGTTCACCTGCCTGTGATATTCACAAAAAAAACAACAGCACAAAACGAAATGTCAGGTTGAAAATAATAGTTAATAGTGTGACTGTTTATGTGACATCTTTTTCCTCTAAGAACCGAGGCGCCTGCTTTTCTCTGCATCGTAACCACGTCAACTGTGTAGCTGGTGGAAAGCGGCCGTATCACACTATAACACCCGCACTTCTCACTGACCCTGCGACCACATCACAGAAACCCCGGCTGCTCGCTGCACTGGGGGTGATGGGGGGTTTTATGCAACCGCAAGGACACGCGCAGGTAAAATGGACAGTATATGTTTCTAGTCATAAGAAGGAACTCAAAATGACTTGAACGTAACCTTAATTTAATTTGAGGTCAGGAGTTCAACTGAAATATTTCTTGTTCTTTTTTTAGGTTTTGTTAAACATGTTGGAGTTTGGGATGAATCCTCAACAAGCTCTGGATGCACCAAGAGTCTTTGTACAGTACGAACACAAAAGTATGCTCCCCCAAACTAAACACACACACACACACACACACACACACACACACACACACACACAAGTGTAACTGAAATTGTGTTTAAAGGAAGAATGTGCAACTTTTTGATCCAGTAGATGTCGCCCTTAAGCACCAGCATTAAACACAGAATGACTGTGATCTAAAGACACTTATGTGACTTCCACTGATGATACATTCTGTGTGTCCAGCTAAAGAATGGTTGGTCAATCTGGAGGAGGGGGTCGATCAGGAGGTCGCCGAGGAGCTGAGAAGACGGGGCCACAGAGTCAACTGGCCAATCACAGGTACCTTCTTTTTTTTTTTCTTAATTTACACAGCTGCAGTTTAAAGAAGCTGTATGGATATCTTTACATGTTAATATGTCTTAAAAGAAGATCATTCTCCCATTCATTTGTTTACGAATAGAATAAAATGGAAGTCTAACACAAGAAGGAAAGAACATGGTTTACAAGCAGTGGTACAAGCTGCCAGTTATTGTTGATGATGATGAGTTTTAATAGCATCACCTAAACTCTTGAGGTTTAATTTTGATGATTAATTTGAATTAGAATTAAACGGCATGCAGTTTCCATGTAGCCAGTTGTTTCAGTTGTGTTTATTTTGTTCCTCCTCCCTGTCATGCATCATTCTGGGTAAGCTGACAGGGTCTCTGATTTTTTCTTAGGAGTTTTGAACCAAGCAGCATCTTTGGTTTGATTATGGCAACAATAACTGCAGCTCCTGAGCCACTTGAGGCTGGCTAACTTTGAGAGTATACTGTATATCCCCATTAAGCCCCATGGTAAAATATCCTATTTTTAACTTTTATATGAGGGTTCACGTGACTCACCACTTAATTACACTGAATTATATTAGGCTGCTTTGTTTTGCAATGGGCTTACTCAAGTTGCTGAACTCTTGGCTGTCCACCCTCTTTCATATTGGGCTCCAAAAACAAAACAACAAAATGCCAAACAAGAGACTTAAAAAAACTAGAAGTGAACCGATGGACCGGCTGGTGATTGGAATCGGATCATGGCCAAACCGTGACCAGCCGGTCGCCTGTCGTTCTCGGATTAAAATGAACAGGGTGAAAGTTTTGCGAACGCTTTTGCGACAGCCACAAACACAAGTTAACATGTCAGCGGTGTGGACGTGCACACTGTGTGTAGCATGAGAGATGAGTATACAACACATGTCTTACAGACAGCAGTCTATACCTACACAACAGGTTACAGCTTGACTTAAAAAGGGAAACCCCGTTCAAATTTTACATGTATTTTATTTAAATATATATTGGGAATTTGGCATGCTAATGAGATGTGGCATAATTTGGTTTATCCAGCAAAATAGGAACAAAAGAGAAGATAATTAAATGGACTCAGTGTATATTTATTGATATTTGTCTGTTTGAACACACAGGCCACAAAAGGTCTCAGTTTGGGCGTGGACAAATCATCACAGTCGGTGACTGGTGGAACCCATCTGTCAGTCAAACTGATACCCAGTCCAGGGTTCTGTGGGCGGGATCAGATCCACGCGGGGATGGATGTGCTCAGGGATACTAGACACACACATGGCTTCATCTACTTTTCACATTAGACAGATTTCTCCCAAAGCTTTCAGAAAGTAAATCTCTGTGTATGAAAAACAAGAACTTCAAGTGTTGTATGTTGTTTAAACACATTTACTGTTATCAGACTTTTAACTTGTAACAAATCTCCGCTTTTATTACATATTTGTACATTCATAATGATTCTTCAGGGTCGTAATATTGGTGTCCCTGTCTGGGACTTCACATTGCGCAACGTGAAGAGAAACATATGGAGCTGTTCTCCTCAGCTGACTCCACAAAACCCATCTCGCTCCTAACGCCTGTGATACTACCTCTGATGACGGCACAGAGGCGGGGTTCCTCCTCTGTGACATCCATAGGGAGGGAGACATGAAAGGGGACTAATTAATGGCCTTGAACAAGCAGTCTGATCATAGCTATAGTTTGGGATGACATACCTTTGACTACAAGCTTTGTATAAGCCAGGGTCATGATTTTATAAACTCTGAAAAGTGAAACAACAAACAGGAAATACCATTTCTGTGCAACATTTCATTACAAACAAATGGTACCCTCCTTGAACACTGTGTTTTGGTTGAGCTTATTATCTGTTAGTCTTACATGAGTTGTTGCTGACAGTGTCTTTACGAGTGTGATCCTTCTCCCTCTCTGGCCAACATTTTATGTAAGAATTTAAATCATGTTTCAAAGTGATGTGAATCACTCAATGTCAATCAGTGTTATAACTCCATAAAAATGTTGCTTACCCACATTTTAAATTGAAGTATGTATTTTTTCTTGTCCCTCTCTATTATAAGTGATTTATAGAATGTGCAGGATCTATTCATGATAGTTTTCTTAAAAAATGACAAATAAAATGTAATTTATTGTCACATTATGGAAATGTTCTCTGGTCATGTTGTGATCATTCTCAATGGATCTCTCTCTACAGACATGATAAAGAGCTGGTTTAGGCTCCAGATATCGTGAAGTGCAACGTTTTATCGGGAGAAGTTCAAACTGTTGAGAGTCCTCGACGTGTAAAGCTTAATCAGTTCTTTTTTTATTTGTAGTATTACAGAAATCATTGGTGTGAGTGTACCAAATCAGTTCCAGAAAACATGGGTCTTTTTGTATGACTTGTGCTTTAACAGCCGGGCCTGATGGAGATGTTAATGTCCGATCAGCTGGTCTGTTCCACGATGGGGTCAAGAGCAAGATGTCTCCAAAAACGACTTGTATGTGTGAATACTCAAGCTCCCCCAAACAATAACTTCTCTTGCTATACTCCTAAAAACTTTTGTTTTATTTGATCACAATTTGCCTTGTATGTCCTCAGCTCCTAGACGGGTGGATACTGATGTTATTTGCTCAATCTCTGACCTCTTTCTTGCATCACTTTATGGGCACAATGCCATTACATTTAGCCTCTTTTTAGCCCAGAGGACACTCACAGTCTCTTGTCTGGCACCTTTAAACAAACAAACAAAAAACAAACTGCTGTGGGTAAAGAACATCTCCCACTTTAGGGTGCTTCATGGTTTTTCCATTGGCACAACTCTTGATGTATTTAGTCTTGTACGAGTCATACAATACATCCATTTCATTTGATGTTTTCAAGCCGGCTGGCTAAAGTTGGTACTTAACCTTTAGCCCTCGTGCTTATATGATGTCTATCTTAAGTGCCCTGTTAGCTGTTTGTAGACGCCCTCTTTGCCCTCATACCTCACAAACAGGATAAATGATATCCCCCTTTAAGCAGTGACTTCGGCTGGGTGAGAGAGGACGCTGAGAATATGAGCAACTTGATAAACAGCCTGTGAACTACTTGCACCGAGAAGCAGGAAGCTCAAACTCAAATCTCTAGATGTAGAAACATTTTGGACTTTGTTTGACTATTTATCCCCTTAATGCTCCAAAGCCCCTGGTACCAACCATTTACTCCTATGAAGAGCCACGTGTTTGGCCACCCAAACACGTTCAGTTTTACACAATCTGCCTTAATCAACACGGGTTCAAACAGCTCGTTAGAGCGGGTCATCCGTGGTCGGTTACAGCTTTACAGCGCAGTTTATCTGAATTCCAGCAGGATTATAAAGAAGCTCAACACATTCTGGCCCCCGACAAACACACGTATGTATACATGCATGGTCTTTGTGGCCGTCTGACACAGTGCTATTAAGAATCATGTAATGCCCTATTGGCCTATAAACCTGCTGAGCTTGTTCTGGCCTGGATAGAAAGGGCCTTGCCTATGGACGCTTTAATGTAAAGATGAGCATCTTGGATCTTGTAAAACTCATCCACAGTTAGATCTTCAATGCAAAATGATCAATTTCTTTATGCATTTGTCCCTAAAGCTAAGCTAGTTTAAATTCACAACACAATAAGGTGTCAGAGGACCTTTTGCAGATGTTGGAAAGTAACCAATTACAAAATCTGCAGTGCTGCAGTTCTTTGACTCTCTGATCAACTTATAATTTGATGCATTTTTACTTTGTTAATAACTAAAAAAGCTTATAAGCATCCATTGATGTCAACTTTTTACTGATTCACTTTAAATTTCAGTTGTCTTGGTAATACTTATTTTATTATTTCTTTACTTGCAAAAGAAAATTTAAGATAATTTTTTACTTTAAATAGTGTGTGATGAAAATGAATACCTCCACACTATGAGATCTTGATCATTCATTAGGACCAAAAATTGTGAATTGAAATGTCACTTCCTGTAACTTTATGTTCTTATTAATGAAAATGGATCCCTGTAAGTGTACCGAACTGTCAACATTAGAATCAAAACAGTCAAATTATTAACAAAACAACAGAAAATGCATCACTGGATACATGCTTAGATCAACAAAGTCATGGAGCACTTTTTCTTTTTGTATTGTTCGAAATTGAAAAAATCTTGTGTATAGAAGTTGTTTTCTGCTTCAGGAAATTAATATTTTCTGTTACCTTTCACACAGAACGATTAATTATGGATAAAGTCAGTAATTGGTCTTACAGTGCAGAGACAGTGACTATAGTAGAGTGCAAAAAGTATAAAAGATAAACACATTAATTATGTATTTAAACATGTTGATTTCTTGAGAATTATTCAGAGTGCTAAGTGCAGCAAAGAGGCTGTGGGAAACTACACACACACACACACACACACACACACACACACACACACACACACACACACACACACACACACACACACACACACACACACACACACACACACTTGTGGATTTGTCATAATTCTGTTCGAATTCCCTGCCGGCATTGGTCAGCTTCCTGTGTGTGTGTTTCCTGGCGCACGTTGTGCGCACACACACACACACACACACACACACACACACACACACACACACACACACACACACACACACACACACACACATACACACACACACATACACACACACACAAACACACAAACACACAGTGACCTCTCGTCACTTGTTTTTGTTTCCGGTCTCCCCAGCTGCTCCGACCCTTCCCTTCCCTCCCCTCTTTCTCTTTTTCTCGGCTCTCCTCAGACCATTCCAGCTCTCTCCTCTCCTCCCTGCAGTTGTGATTGTGTGTTTTTGGAGTGCGGGATGTGTTGTTCGGTGGGTTTCGCCCGCTCTCTGGGCCTGGCCCTGCTGCCTCTAGCCCTCTGCTGTATTGTAGCAAACCTGCTGCTGCTGTTTCCTATGGGAGAAACCACCTACATCAAGCAGGACCGTCTGGCAAGCTACACCTGGTACTTTGGAGGACTAGGAGGAGGGGGACTAGTGGTGAGTAAAACATACTAAAACTGTAGATCAAAATAGCAGTTTTTGAAACTTTAGTGGGATCATAACACTCTGTAGAGGTGGGAACATCTCAACATTTGTTGTCTGAAGTAAAAAAAAAAAAAACTTTAGGCGCTGGTCATGGCTTTTGAAGCAACACCAATCACACAAACAGATCCCTTTATTTGAGTATTTATCATCAGTGTTTTGACCAGACTTGGAACAAACACACTGTAGTGTACCTTCTCTCTTCAAATTGTCAACCTTAGTATCATAAGATCTTCTTTTCTTTGAGTTTATGTGGTCTTAAGTTGGTTTCACAGTCATGTTCACGAGTTAAACATGTGTTTATCAAATCTTACATTGTACTTGAAACTTTTTTTCATGGCAACTAGTGATGTAGAAAAAAATCTCATAATAATGTTTTTCTCTGTGATTCTATATTTTTCAGCATCTTTTCAAATAGATAATATAATCATTTTGTCAGGCACAAATATTGTGCATGTATATTTCCCCTGATGTCACTAGTCCCGTGTTGTGGAACTTATGACCATGAGTAACAGTGAAGACACTCATTAGACGCTAAAAGTACTCCGATTCACTCGTCAGCTGGCGTCACAGCAAGTGATTCTTTTTATAACTGAAGGAAATTTCTTCTCACGTAAACCAAAATGAATGAGATGCTTTCAAAGCATTTGAGCCATGTGACAGTAAAACTCACCACTGAGAGAACTTTAAAATGGATAAATAACAAACCACAGTCACTGTGAATCATCTCCTCCGTTTTCACGTCCTTTGAATTGATTTATCTGTGGTACTCTGCACCTATTTTTAACATTTAAAACCTAAAAACACGACGATAAAGCAAGTGATGACTTGTTCCCCTTTCATAGTCGTTCAGTCTGTGTGTGTGTGTTTGCAGATGTTCTTCCAGAACAATGGAGGGTTGTGTAAATTCACAGTTAATCCGTCTGCTCTACATGCTGCTGATCTGATGGGTTTATGCTCGGACCAAGCAGAAGGGAGTTATTCTTTCAGTTTGGTTTTGAGGAGAAACAGAGGAGAGATTGTGTTTTTCTCCAGACAAGATTAGCCCTGTTGACCAGCAGAGCACTTGTGCTGGATACACAACGATTTACTCCCTTAAAATATTTACACATTTTCTAATAGTTTGCTTCTCCTTTGGTCCCTGAAGAAAGAGTGAATCATGATTCAGGAATATCTCATCACATAACGAAAACAGCCGGTGGAACTGTGGGATTTTAACTTTTAATATATTTTTCATGAAACAATGTTTGGAGGGGTTACGAGGTCCAGTTGAGTTATGAAAGAGAAATGTCTGAGCCTTAAAATGATCCTTTTGTACGCCTGAAATTCCTCTCCTGCAAATCTTTCACAATAAAAGTTTTGAGGATTACGCCCCCTTAAATTGCTGAAAGGCTCTTAGGGCCGAGATAGGCAACTTCTGAGAACCGAGCGAGAATAAGCCAGATTTTGAAAAAACCCAAAAGACTCCATGAATACACGTGCACTGCCTGAGCGTGCAGTAGATGTTGGCACTAACTGTGTCCATCTTACAGTGGCCGACAAGGGAAGTTGCCCTGCACTGGCACAAAGAATTTCTATAAGGAGAAACAGGCTCCAAATTCAGGAACAACACAAATTCAAACATACCTGCAAAAGTCCAAAACAAGAGCACAACGATGGAGACAGACTGTGAATGAAAGAACAGGTTGCACCAAGACAGAACAACTGCATTTAAAAGCAAACACGCTGCAAAGTCAAGAAACGATGCAAATCAACAACTGCAAGAGAAAAACTGCAGCAAATCCAGAACGCTCCAGGCCTGTAGGGGGCGCTCAGAACAGCTTTACCATTGAACAGAGACTACTGATGCTAACACCACAGGGATAATTCTTCTTATCTGTTATGATACATTTAAAGGACCAAAATGTACGATATCTAATAAATTTAATCATAAAACGTTATCATAGGAAATGAATTAGCTAAGTAGCCAACTCTTCAACTATGTTGTTCAACATCTAAGTTTTGATTCCAGTCCTGAACGGTCTGTGTTTGTATTGACCAGAGAAGGTGGGTGGTGGTTTTAAGGCACTGCCACATGACCGTTTTGGACACCCCTCGGTTTGCCAGACTAACAGGAAACCAACAGGTGTTGCAGTGAAAGAAGCGAGCAGATAGAACTGATTCTACCTGAACTAAAAAGCTCCACAACAACAAACGTGGTAAAACTAGGATAAATATTTGACAAAATGGAGAGAGGCTAGGGCAAAGAAAGGCTTCAAGACCGATGCAGAGCTGACTAAACACTTCTGTGTCCGCGACATGGCAACCTGCGTCCACATTGTCTATATGGAGAAGGGGGCGGAGGGAGACAGCTCTCTCCAATGTTTGAATTTTGAGTGCAGTACCAATTTTAAATGCTAGGTGTCAGAGTTTGATATTTCTCCTTTGAATTGGAGATGGGTCATTATTCTTGAATATTTGAATAGTCATTCATTTATTTTCATGCAACTTTCATCTCATCTATAAAACATTTTTTGTTTGAATGTCTTTACTGCTGGGGTTTTTAATGGCCTTGGATCATCAGATGGTGGCTGAAGCACATCTCAAAGCCAAACACATTAACTAAAAATAATCTTTGAATATTCTTTAAATAGTTTCCAGTGACTTGTGAACAGTATTTTGGCTTGAAATGCCCATCCCTAATTTAAATCAGGTGAAAAAAGATAAAAGGTCTCATGTGAGAGACTGTCCCTTGATTCAGTTCAGGTGAATAAAGGTCTTTCCCACGTTTAATGGAATAAACAATCTGCATTTAGGTTGGTTGGTACATGTTGTATTTGATATAAAAGTAGGAGGAAGAGACTTTATCCTGGGGATTATGAAGCTCCTATTTTCTGTGATTACACGGTTCATGATAATCTTATTTTTTCCCCTGTGTGCTTTTTCCTTTTCTCGTGGAAATAACAAAACACTAAAAAGTCAAAGAGCAAACTGGACCCCTCATGAGAGAAATCTAACTATAGCCCCCTCCCACCCTTCCTCCCACCCTTCCTCCTGCCCTCCCTCTGCGCTCCTGCTTCCTTTCTCAATGTGCTTCCCTCTTTATTCTCTCTCTCTCTCTGCCTCATCTAAAGGAGAGTGATTCAGGGTGACATCCAGGATGTGTTTTTTTTTTTTCTTTTACCATGCCTATAGCTTTCTGTATGTGTGTTGATGTGTAAAACCTTGGGAACTCCCCCTCCCCAACCCCTCTGTTAGGATGTGACTTAAGGTGATCAACCGCTGTGAGAGAGTCAGCGGGACAGGAAAAAGGAAGCGAAGAGGAAAGAGAGGAGGGATAGTAGAAGAGTAGATCCTTTAAACAAACACATGAAGGAGTCTCTGTTTTCCTGCTGTTCCATTTCATTAAGGCTCTCGACGGACTGCACATTTTTTTATTATATAATCTGTATTAATTGTTAGAAATGTCCTCCATTAATCAAAATCAATCATCAATCAATACGCAAAAATATAAAGATTAGAGATATAACATAAGTACATGTCCTAATTTTATTTTAGCCATATGCAGGTAAAGTTGAACTCTTTTCCCTGGGTGTTTGTTTAGCCAAGCTAGCGGTGTGGCTAAAGATAGTTTTTGGAAACATGGAAAATACAATTTGAAAGGCAATAAATAAAATGTTCCCATGAGGATGTCTTTATGTCACCAGACTTTTTACGAGTGGTCAATATCTTTATGTTGTAGATGACTTTAAATCTTACTTAAAATGCTAACGTAACATGCTGACAGTCAACGATAGTGATCAAAATGATTGTTGTTTTCGACGGTATAATTTAGAATATTTACTCTCTGCCATATTAATCGACAAGCAGCATAATATGTTCGAATGTGCCTGAGTACATTTGACTCTGACAAAGTACTTCTTAGATTTCTCAAAGGTCACACAAATCTTTAAGTTGATCACAATACTTTTTGTGGGTTTTTTTTGTACTTCTTAGATAATGTTTTTTATTCAAATCAATATGATCAATAATGCTTCTCAATAACAAGATTAGGGCAGTAAATATGTATGAATACATTTGAGTGCAAAGTAGAATACAAATGGTCGCTGATGTGATGGGGAGTATTCATGAATATTCAGATAAATGGATCTATATGTTTGTTGATAAAAAAAAAAAAAATGAAAGAATAAATAACGGATTAAAATGCAGTAAAATAACTAACCTTTTGTTCTATTCTTCCAGATGCTGGTTCCAGCTGTTGTGTTTATCTCTCTGGGGAAATGTAGCTTCTGCTGGAACGAGAGCTTAATGGTAAGGGGCGTTACAAACTTTCAGTAACACTGCACATTTTCAAACCTGCAATATCTAGTGATCACCAAACACTGATTTCACAGTCTCGATTCAGGATGGATGAAATTCATTCAGAGCTCTACTATTCTTGATTTTAAAAATAAGGCTTTATGGCTACAAACGGTCTTTATCCCCTTGTTACTCTTCATAGAGTTCATTTTTTCCTTCTCCTTTGTCAACACTCGGAGAATAATATTCTACAGTAGTCATTAAGCCAGCTAACACTATGTCCTTATGAGGTGGAATGCTAATGCTAATCCAGTGTTGATAATTCGACAAAGGTCCCATTGTTAGTTAACCCTCCACAAAGTAAGCTTGGCTCACACAACTTGAGCCACATGCACAGCTGCAAGTGTGGATTTCTGAATGTGTATGTGAAGCAGCTGCCTCTGTATCTAAACTATGAACCAACCCACATTTCATACAGACAGACACACTCCTGCATATCCTCTTTAATACCGTGTTGTGTGCCTGTGTTGGTCTCCAGATGTGCGGGTCAGTGCTGGCAGCTGTGATCGGACTGGTGGGGTCCTGTTACTGTTTGGTCATATCTGGGTTCACCTTGGTGCAGGGTCCCCAGTGCTTCACCTCTTTTGGATGGTCTTACCCCTTTTTAGACCAGGGGGGCAGGTATGGAGACACTCTTTCCTAATGTGTGTGTATGTGGCTGTTATGGGAAGTATAACCAATAAGGAAGATGGCATACAGATGCATCATCTTGTAGGTTGAAACTGATCATTTCTTTCATTTTCCAAACATTAGGGGCAGTTTATGCACACTAGAATTCACTACACTAATGTGACAAGTGTTGTAGTGCAGCATTAGCTGTTTCTGTGAACCCTTTCTTTAGTTATACTGAACCTAATAGTTCATAAAAATGGCCGAAACAGGTGCAACATTAAAAGTAAGGTCTACAAATTTGCATGTTTATTCACATCTTTGTATTGAGTTTATAATCTTACTATACAAAACATATCTTTGCCTTTGGTCTGATCCATAGACTTTATAACAAAAGAGGACAAACACAAAGTCACCTAATGGGTGACTCAAATTTGGCATTTTAGTCGTTTAGTCTTGTTTTTTCTGGAGTCAGAAGTGACCATATTTGGCATCATGGTTACTCATTTCTACCACTATTGGTTTACATGTCACTATGGTAGCACATGGTCAATCCATTCCAATCCAATAGCTTTCTATTGTACCATAATTTACAAAATAAATACCTTGCTGTTTCTGAACTCTCTCTCTCTCTCTCGCTCTCCATCTTACAGGTATCTCTTACAACCAGAGACCTGGTCCCGATGTCTTCAGCCGGTCAACATCGTGGAGTGGAACGTGACTCTGCTGTGTGTGTTGATAGGCCTGGCTGTGCTGGAGTTCATCATCTGTCTCATGCAGCTCGGAAGCGGTTTAGTCAACGCTGTCTGTCGGCCCTTTTGCTATAAGCAGGAGTACAGTCTTAATGCTTAGTTAGACACACACACACATTTGTATGTATACCTGCAGAGACACAAGAGCGTGTGCACACATAGGCAGTCACTCAATCCACCTGTACATGCACCTATGGGACATTTATGGGCACATGTGTACGCACAGCCTTTTTGCCTTGTGTGTGAGTGTGTGTGTATGTGTGTGAGTACAACACAGTATTACAACGACACAAAGTGCAACCACGATATTTTCATGCTTTCAGTTTTCCTTTTCAAGTGGGAGAAATCACTCTTCAGCCATTGATGAGGATTGATTAAATTTCAAGGGCAACGGGTCATCAGTCCATAATGAAATTGTGTTTTTGTGTGTTTTGTGTGTGTGTCTTGAATAGTGAATAAGAACAGATTAATGATGCTATATTAACTTGCAACTGGTAAAAAGACGCTAAACAGACCATTATGTACATAATAATGTAGATAATAAGACAAAGAAGAGCATCCAATAATAATATTAGGTATATAGGATGTTAGATTTAATCAGTTGTGTGACACTTTTGTGTTGACTTTTTTGAAGAGGACATGTTATCCCCCCTTCTCCACCTTTTCAAACAGTCCCCCTGTGGTCTAAATGAAACATCTGTGCTGTGCTTTGGTCAGAATATAACATGAATCAAGCACCAGAGGAGGTTTGTGACCCTGTATAAACCAGCTCTCTCAGAACGCTCCGTTTTGGTGTGTCTGTCCCTTTAAATGCAATGAACCCCCCCCCCCCGCCCCGCCCCTCTCTTCCATGGGGTGTGCCGACCGGTGCCGACACAAGTTCAGCTTTGAATTTCCATGGCAACTCCTCAGCGTTCCCCCCTGGGACAAACATGGCTGCCGGAGACAACACAGGAGGGGAGTTTTTATTTTTTATTTTTTTTTACCAGAATCCCACTGTGACATCACAAGGAGAGCAAATTTGAAACGGAGCATTTTACTCTGTGTTGTAAGACTTACGCAGACCACAAACAAAGAACTGGATGGGTTTATTTCACATTTTTTTTTCACATGTTTTTGAAATACTGTAAAAGTGGATTTTTCATAATATGTCCCCTTTAAAGAACACAAATAACTTTTTGTACCATTGATGACTTACCTAAACAGTCTGAGTTCTTTATGTCAAGGTTGCTGACTTTCTTTATTATCATTATTTCCAGTATACCTCGTTGACTTCATAAAACCAACAATTACCCGATTGTTAAATGCATGATTTAAACTAGTGTCAGTAAACAAGCCACATATTTTTACCATCAGTATTTATGGTGTCACTACAAGTGGGACACTACTCCATTATTTTAGTGATCATTCGATCCATTAGGGATGGTTTCATTCTATTGGCTCGAATATTTAAACACTGGACCGACTGAGGAGCATCAGCAGATGTGTGTGTTTTTGTGTGTTTATACTTTTGTTTTCAAGGACAACTTTTGTTATAAATTGTTTTTCTCTGCGTCTTTCCAATGCTAGGTCAGTGTAAACAGACATTTTATATATATTTTAGTGACATATTTTTATAATGTTTGTTTGTTTGTTTGTGTGTGCTGCCTTGAATAAAAAAACCCAACTATTTCCATTTTATGATTGTGCAGATGATCTTTTTTTTTAACCTCAAATAGCAGGTGTAGATTTATAGGAAGGATATTCTCAGTACAGTGGACTTAACCCTTAAATCCAAAAATACGTAATTAGTAAGATAACAAAAAGGGTCCAGTACAGCACAGATGAAGGAGATTCATGCATGCTCCCCTCCCCAAGGTTTTCCATCATACTTTGTTTTTATTTCAACCATGTTTTCCCCTATGTGCATGTCTGAATGTAGCCTGCTTTCTGTGTTGTAATCAAGTCCTGGACTCAAGTGTTTGTCCTGGAGTTTCCAGAGTTGTCTTTTATTTATCTTTGCATCACGACCCAAACTGAGCAAATGTGCTCTTCAACCCTTGGAGCTGAGCCCATTTAAAGTCATTTTTAAGCCTATGGCACTGTACCTTTAATGTCACAATAATGTCCTGAAATGTATTTTTAGAGACACATTACATTATTACATTTTTTTAATTTTTATTATCCACCTTTCTGTTCTCTGAAAGCAGAGTACAGAAAGGTGGCTATTGACCCTTATGTCAGAAAGACCTTCACGTCAGCATGTTGTTACAAAAACGCTTCCTCCATCAAACATATGAAACTATTGACTGGATAAAATAAATCTACCAAACTGTCTTCAAGTGTAAGGGTATTTGACCCTCATTGACTTTAGATGAAACCAATTATTTAATAATTGAACCGAGAAGCAAAATACACAAACTAGATCTGAACGCTGAAATGTTTTTTTTTTTCTGAGGGCCTTTTCACTCGTTTGTAGTTCAAATCAAACAGCAGTATTGACTTGACCAAAAGTCAGTGATTTCATCACAGCACAGGTAAACAATAGTGAGGTACAAGTCTGTTTATTCCTTCTGAAAGGAGATAAAGTTGGATATAAATTGTCCTCAGACTCAAGTCTTTTTATACTTTGACAATGAAATGTGTATGTCAACTCTTTGACATACACATTTCATTGTCAAAGAGGGTTCAATCAATAAGATTGTTCTTGTGAAATTCTGTTTGATTAAGCAGGGTGTCGTGGAGCCCTGATAGGTTGGCTCAAATCTCCTCTGTTGGTCATCAACCCCTGTGCCCTACTCGGGTATTCCCAACAGTCGGTAAACTGAGGGAGTATAAAGACTCCACCAGGGTCTAAAGTCTCTCAGACGGACTGACTGATAGATCTGTTTGTTCTCTGCACAGCTTGTCTTCTTCATTATCATCTGCTGGATTACATACAGGCTCATCTTCCTCTGTTGGTCTCTCTACCCAAAATGCTTCCTTTAGGGTTAGGCAGGGTGTTGCTGCTGTGTTGTGTCGCAGCATGTGTGTCCGGGGAGTTGAGAGGGTATTTCTTTCGGATAGAGGAAATACCTTGGAACTACGCCCCGACTGGAATGAACGTCATCCAAAACTGCACCCTGCTGGAGGACGAGTGAGTAGGAGCACAGTGTGATGTCTTGATTGTGTTGGAGTCGGTCGTTGAGACCCTTGGAGCTGATCCAAAACGCAGGAACAAGACTCCTCTTTGGCGCCAAGAAAGGAGACAAAATACCTCCTTTATTTGCCTCCATTTCAATGTGATTATTTGAATGTTTTAAATCACTGTATGGCTTGGTAACACATTACAATCTACAATTTCCTCTCCTACCTCTACTCCATCCTCAGGTTAACTAACCAATTACTCCCATTCATTATTGAATGTTTGCACATGTTTGCAATTAAAAAGCATGGATGTGTTTTTAGCATCTTAAACTGTCCTTATCTTAAATGTATCAAAACCTACTGGAAGTTTTTCAACATATATTATATAAAAAAGTCCTTCATTTTTTTTTAGTCCACCGAAGAAAAATCAAAGTATGTATTTAAAAACACACCGACCTTTCTATGGACATTGAGGTACGGTTCTGTTTATTCTATCGCTTGTGCTCTGTACAACAAAAAGCCCTCTACGTCTTTACTCTGACCTGTTAAGTCAACTTTTTAATATTTATTGAACCTTTATTTTGCTATTTGGTGAGCATGTCTTTAAAATAGGAATCACCCTTAAACAAACTGACTGTATTTTCACATTAAGAGCACAGCATGTTTAATTAAGTAGGATTATGGAGGCCCTACAACTACTTGCCATAATGTCTGGCAATAGAGGCCAACAATTAAATGTATCCAAAATATGATTACATTGAGTGCGTTATCCTGGTTTTGATTATTTGGGATTTTGGTGGTAACATGCACACAGAGAAACCTGGTTATATATATACTGTATTTCCTGAGACATGATTAAGACTAGTATCAGTATCAAGTCATAGCCCCTTCTTTGGTTCTGATGTTTGGCACATGTATACGTAGTAATGTTTCTTCAGTACTTCACAATATGAATTGACTTGCTCCACCGTGCGTGTTCACCAACTACAGCCAGTAACAGGTTTTTGAAAATATTTAAACTGTACTTCATGAAAGATTAATAGACACAAACTCACATAGCTAATTCTCTCTCTCTGTAGAGAAGCCTCTGTTTTTTAAAGCGAGGCCCCAATCGGATCGGCCCCACCTACAAGAAGGCTGTGTATAAGCAGTACACTGACAGCACCTACAGGACAGAGATCACCAAGCCGGACTGGCTGGGCTACCTGGGACCTCTCATAATGGCCGAAGAGGGAGACATAGTGATCGTCCACCTGAGGAACTCAGCATCTCGACACTACAGTATTCACCCACATGGACTCAACTACAGCAAAGGCAATGAGGGTGAGGAATTATTCAAATAATACAGACATCTGTGCATGGAAAGATGATACCCAGAGAACAAAGTAATGGTTTATGAATATGAAAAAAATAACGTCCACTACTGAACTTTCAGGCCTCTGCACAAATCAAGTTATCTCCCTAGCACGCTACTGCTAACGTAACAATGGCTGCACTGAAACTGTATTCACATTCTGTTTGGTCCAATTATTAGTATAAGATGAAACATTTCAGAGAAAGGCTACATTACTTACTGATAGCAGCTCCGACAATTTTAACAGATGAAACAGGCTTAGTTGTTAGTGCACACCCAGGTTGTCCTTAATGAAGTTAAATGGCAAAAACAAGCAGCTCCAGTACGACTCCAGGGCAGATATTGAACGTCCATCCAATTGAACAACCACTGTCTTTTGTTTAAATACAAAACAAAAAACTGGCTAAATCACAGGAGGCAGCAGGGATTGGTTACTTCTCTGTAGCGTGCGGTTGTATGAAGCTTTTCTTGCTTGCCAGGTGGGCAGTTCCTTTAGTATGTGATGTCACATGAAAGACTTAAAGGCTTTATATGTGATTTTTCACACTTAAATATAATATAAATCAAGTATATCCTCTGAAAATAACTCTGTGAGTCATGACTGTCTACAATGGGTGTAACACCCGAGTCCCACTGTCTGTGATGTTTTCAGAGTTTTCAGAGTCCTATCTTCACTTTGTTTACATCGCCAGGACGGCCGGCTGACTCCTCCCCTCGTGTATAAAAGTTGTTTAATTGATGGACTAGAGAAAAGAAGAATAACATACTGTACTCACTGCTTAACTGTGTTTCTAGATCACGCTCATTTCAGGTAAATTTACATGCAGTGTGACGATACCAGCATAATAAAGATCACTAGCATTAGCATGCTAACACAACAATGCAGCACGAGTTGTTTTGGTTTCATGCTGGTGCTCAAGGGCGACATCAGCTGGATCAAAAATGCATATAAAGCCTTTAATACAGAAATTGTGGCAATTTGAGAGCAGTGCAGAAGAGCGGCCACTGAAACTCGAGGGAAATCTTTTTTTTTTTTTTTTTAAAATTGAAACATTTTGTTTACATTTTGAAAAAATGGAAAAGCGCTTCACTTTTTCATTGTGATAGATGTTTGATCTCGGTTTGTTTTTAACGCTTGTATCTTTCCCTCTAGGGGCACTTTACCCTGACGGGACCGGTCCTGAACTGAAGACTGACGACTCGATTGCTCCTGGTGCAACAAAAATGTATCAGTGGACCCTCCCAGAGACACACAGC